CTGCCATTCTAAATGCTTTCTACCCACAGGCAGAAGCCAAACACTGAATATGACTTTAGAGGAAAGAGGGTAAAGGGCAAAGAGTTTAATACCTTATATTTGGATGTTGCTTTATACTTTCCAGGGTACTTTCACATACTTGATTTTACTTGATCTTTACAACAAACCGGTGAAGTAGGTAGAATAAATAGTTTTATCCATTGTTCCAGACAAATCTTTGGGGCTTAGTACAGCTGGGAGATTTCTCAGCAGTTGCCCATGTGGCTAGTGAAAGGTCTCCTAACACCTGACCTTTGTCTTGTCTGCCATCCCAGATAAAGCACGATATGAAAAAAAAATTACATATATCCTTAGGACAGTATATAAAATAAGCGTTTTTTATTTAATAAACTTTTATTAATTTTTTGTGTATTTCATACAGAACAGCTCAAAAACTCTGAATCATCTTTATACCCCCATCCCCACTGGCACCCTCCCACAGACCCAACCCCCACTGGAGCCCATATACTCGGTCATCCCTGTAAAGCCCACTGGGTTGTCAGTGCCCCCAGCCTACAAGTCCGTCCACTAAGTCTCTCTAGAGTCCCTTGTTTTAGGAAGATCAGCTCTTCTTCATCTAGCAGCAATCAGTTGCCAACATTCCTTCAGATAAGACTGAGGTCTATTGTTCATTTTCCAAGTTCTATGCTGGGCTATTGTCTGCCTGAGTTTGCATGGGACCTGTGTATGCTGACACCATTGCCATAGAATCATATGAGCAGGTTCCCAGGAGCTTTATTCTTGATGTGAACTTCTCCAGAAGTTCAATGGAAAAATGCAAAGTCCGTGGGTGGTATCAACTTAGGTCATCCTTGTTGAGTTTTGAAGATGCAGAGACCAGAAGTGTCAGCAAATCATCACTGGCTGAATATCTGCTCACTCTTTTTTTCATGTTTCTTAATTATTTATTTAATAACCACATAATTAGAAGATGCATTTCATATCCAACCCCTACATCCCTCCTCCAACTCCCCCAGGACCCCCCAAACACATTCCTTCCCAACTTTATATCCTCTTATTATTTTTTATAATGTGCTGAGTCCAGTTATTGCTGCTAGTATGTCCATGGGTGTGGGACCATTCACTAGTTTTCTGCATAGGCAACCTACCAGTGGCCACATTCCTCCAAATAAAAAGGAATCTCCCTCTCCACAGCCAGGAGCTCCTCATCCTGGAATTTTGACTGGGTCGATCTTATGTGAGTAACTACAGCTGCTATGGGTTCATGAGAGCAATGGCCCATGTATTGTCCAGAACACAGCATTTCACCAAACTCCTCCCCATTCTCCAGCTCTTAAATTCTTCTGTTCCTTCTTCCATGATGTTCCCCAAGCCTTGAGGGCTGAGGGTTGCTATAGATGCCCCTTTTAGGAATGAGCATGCATGGGCATTTGTTCTCAGCACTTTGACCAGTTATGAGTCTCTGCATTAACTGTTGCCCACTGTAAAAAAGAAATTTCTCTGACCAAGATTGAGAGACACAATCATCTATGGGTATAAGTGTGTATAAATATAAATATTTATGTGTCAGCTTGGTAACACAACTACTTAGAAAACAACAAACAAACAAAAAAAGTAAGTTTTTCCCAAGGGCCTATGACCTTCCCAGTCATGGACCTTTGGCCAGTTTACAGTACCAGGCATGAATTCCTTCCTGTGGAGCAGGCCTCAGAGCCCATCAGAAAGCAGTTGATTACCACTATAAAGTCTGTTACTATTGCACCAGTGGGCACACCTTGTCTGGCAGGTCAGTATTGTAGCCTGCAGGGTCCAGCCCTGGGTAAGACAGCCAATGTTCTTTCTCCCCCAGCAGTCTACAGAGTGCTTTCTTGCACTATAAAAGCCAGCCAGGAGGAAGTTTTCCAGTCAGTTCAATATTAATTTCTGTGTCCTGAAAACAGAGTATGTTTTGTCTTCAGCAATAGGGTCTTACTATCTAGTTATGGGAAGCAACCAAGAGCAACGGCAATCATCTGTGTTGTTCTGGGAGCTCCTGGAGCCTCCCTGACCAATAACTAATAGAGTGGCATCCCATGCCTGGCATTGAGGTTTTTTGTTGTTTTTTTTTTGTTGTTGTTGTTGTTGTTTTAATTTGGGTTGTAAGATAATAGATTTCTATGTTTTTTTTTTCATATTCCTTTCATTTTGGTTAATCTTTCCCTACCTACCCTCATTTCCTTAACTCCCCACCTCCTTTCCTGATTAAACCTTTTCACACCGTAGGATGCATCTTTTTTATTTTCCTTTTACCAGCATTCTACTATTTTCTCTCCCTTAAGACATCCCCAATGGCCCCTTTGTAATTTCCTGGCTTCCACAGATGCTCCCAGTTAAATACAAGAAACTAAAGATCCAAAGTGAGAATCCACATGGGAGAGAGAGCATGCAATGTTTGTCTTCTGGGCCTAGGTTACTTCAGTATAATTTTTTCCAGTTCCATTTATTTACCTGCAGATTTCATAATTTCACTTTTCTTCACAGCTGAATAAAATTACATTGTGTATATGTGTCACATTTTCATTATCAATTCATCATTTGATAGACTGATTCGTTTTCCTAGCAGTAATGAACATGAATATGCAGATATCTCTGTAGTACGAAACAGAGTCCTTCGTATGCCCAGAAGCAGTACAACTGGATCATACGGTAGTTTTATTCCTAGGTTTTTGAGAAACATCCTGATTTCCAAAGTGACTGCACTAGTTTAACCTCCTACCAACACTGTATAAGGCTTCCCCAATTCCTCACACCCATGTCAGCATTTTGATATCCCCCCATTGGTATTCTTGGTGATAGCCATTTGACTGTGATGAGACAGAACCTTTTTTTTTTTTTTGAAACAGTAATTCACTATGCAGCCCTGGCTGGATTGGAACCTGCTATGTAGACCAGGCTAGCTTCCAACTCACAGTTGGAAGCCTGCCTCTGCCTCCAAAGTGCTGGGATTACAGACATGCACCACCATGCCTGGCCCAAGATGGAACCTTAAGAGAGTTTTGATCAGCATTTCTCAAATGGCTGAAAATGTTGAACAATTTTAAAGTCTGTATTTCTTCTTTTGAGAATGCTCATTTTTAACTGGGTTGTTTGTTTTCTTTTGTTTAGTTTTTTGAGTTCATTGTATATTCTAGACATATCCTCCATTGGATATATAGCTGGCAAAGGTTTTACTCCCATTCTGTGGACTGCCTCTTCGCTTGTTTTCTTTGCTTTTCAATTTCATGAGGTCCGGTCCCATTTATTGATTGTTGGACTTATTTCCTGCACTACTGGAGTTCTATTTAGAAGTATCTACCTCTGCCTATATGATTAAGTGTGCCCCCTACTTTTTCTTCTAACAGTTTCAGAGTATTAGCTCTTATGTTGAGGTCTTTGATCCATAGAGTTGAGATTTGTACAAGGTGAGAGACAGGGATCTAGTTGCATTCTTCTGGATATAGATATCCAGGGTTCCTAGCACCATTTGTTGAAGATGCTGTCATTTCTCCAATGAATATTTTTGGCATCTTTGTCAAAAAATCAGATAGCTTTTGTTGCATAGACTTATATCTGGGTCCTCTATTCTGTTGATATAGTTGATCTATGTTTGTGTGCCAGTGCTGTGCTGTTTTTATTACTGTGGCTCTGCTGTATAACTTGAAATCACATATGGTAACACATCCAGCAACATTCCTTTTGTTCAGGATTGCTTTGGCTACCTTTGGTCTTTTGTGC